CAACCATGGCAACCATGCGCGGGAAGTCTTCCTCGCTGCTTTTTGTGGCAGACTACAGCCTGACAGACTTACAGGCCTGGCATACAGTGGGGCAAAAAAGTATTTAGTCAGCCACCAATTGTGCAAGTTCTCCCACTTAAAAAGATGATAGAGGCCTGTAATTTTCATCCTAGGTACACTTCAACTATGAGAGACAGAATGGGGTGAAAGAATAAAGGAAATCACATTGTAGGATTTTTAATGAATGAATTGGTAAATTCCTCTGTAAAATAAGTATTTGGTCACCTACAAACAAACCTGTAACTTCTTCTTTAAGAGCCTCCTCTGTCCTCCACTTGTTAACTGTATTAATGGCACCTGTTTGAACTCGTTATCAGTATAAAAGACACCTGTCCACAACCTCAAACAGTCACACTCCAAACTCCACTATGGCCAAGACCAAAGAGCTGTCAAAGGACACCAGAAACAAAATGGTAGACCTGCACCAGGCTGGGAAGACTGAATCTGCAATAGGTAAGCAGCTTGGTGTGAAGAAATCAACTGTGGGAGCAATTATTAGAAAATGGAAGTCATACAAGACCACTGATAATCTCCCTCGATCTGGGGCTCCACGCAAGATCTCACCCCGTGGGGTCAAAATGATCACAAGAACGGTGAGCAAAAATCCCAGAACCACACGGGGGGACCTAGTCAATGACCTGCAGAGAGCTGGGACCAAAGTAACAAAGGCTACCATCAGTAACACACTACGCCACCAGGGACTCAAATCCTGCAGTGCCAGACGTGTCCCCCTGCTTAAGCCAGTACATGTTCAGGCCCGTCTGAAGTTTGCTAGAGAGCATTTAGATCAGTGTTTCTCAAGCTTTTTCATACCAAGGACTACTTAACCAATAAAAAAACACTCGCGGACCACCTAACTCCACAAATATCCCAAAACACATAGTTTTTCTAGAACAGATTATAAATCGCCTGGAAATGGTACAAACAAGTGGAAACATGTGTGACGAAGGTGTTACCCTGGGCTTTTATCATGCAATAGAAAGTTAAATGTAAGCTTGTTCCACTGCGGAGATATTCCTGCGAGAGTGCAGAAAACTTAAATGTATTTATTTATTTCAAATGTGAAATGTTACCAATATACTCACGGACAACTAGGGGGCGCTCACGGACCACCACACTTTGAGAAGCACTGATTTAGATGATCCAGAAGAGGATTGGGAGAATGTCATATGGTCAGATGAAACCAAAATAGAACTTTTTGGTAAAAACTCAACTAGACGTGTTTGGAGGAGAAAGAATGCTGAGTTGCTGCATCCAAAGAACACCATACCTACTGTGAAACATGGGGGTGGAAACATCATGCTTTGGGGCTGTTTTTCTGCAAAGGGACCAGGACGACTGATCCGTGTATAGGAAAGAATGAATGGGGCCATGTATGGTGAGATTTTGAGTGACAACCTCCTTCCATCAGCAAGGGCATTGAAGATGAAACGTGGCTGGGTCTTTCAGCATGACAATGATCCCAAACGCACTGCCCGGGCAACAAAGGAGTGGCTTCGTTAGAAGCATTTCAAGGACCTGGAGTGGCCTAGCCAGTCTCCAGATCTCAACCCCATAGAAAATCTTTGGAGGGAGTTGAAAGTCCGTGTTGCCCAGCGACAGCCCCAAAACATCACTGCTCTATCACTTATTTTCCACCATAATTTGCAAATAAATTCTTTAAAAATCAGACAATGTGATTTTCTGGATTTTTTTTTTTCTCATTTTGTCTCTCATAGTTGAGGTATACCTAGGATGACAATTACAGGCCTCTCTCATCTTTTTAAGTGGGAGAACTTGCACAATTGGTGGCTGACTAAATACTTTTTTGCCCCACTGTATGTACTACAGCGTCTCCAGCGCTTTCGAGCGGCAATAGCCGTGGCCCAACCTCTCCTTCCCCTGATAGGTGGAGAGTTGCCCATATAGGCGGAGCACCCCTTTTCTGACATCAGAGAAATTCAAATCTGTATCAGCTCCGTTGCAGCCCCGTTTTTAGAGATTTGGGCATGGAGGAAAAGAGAGAGGGTTGTGTTTTCTGACACTTGGTGAGTTCCCTGACACACAGGGGACACATATTCATGCATAAAAGACGTACTAAAGTGCATTTTGCACGATAGGTCCCCTTTAATATACTGAAACTAATGTGCTTCATTGAAATGTGTATTCTACTTGCTTTTTACAATAATTGACATGCCTTATCCTTCCTTCTGTCCTTTTGCTTCTTGCTTCCTGAAGGCCTGACTTATAATGTGTCTCTGGGAATTTATGGAAGTACGTTTCTCTCACTTTCTCTTAATACTTTTTAACATGCAAACTTCATCTTCTTCAATAACTTCTCATACTTTCCCAAATTAATGTACTCTTTTCTATTCAATACAACAGTGACAAGCATTGTTGGAACTCATACTCGATGTTTTAATAGAAATAGAATAATAGTTTATTACAAGTAGCAATTCTGAATTCAAAAGTATTAGCATCAAAATATACTTAAAGTACCAAAATAATTGTTGATGCAAAATGTGGTATAATTATAAGGTGTCGATTATTTTGTATTAAATAATACTGCTGAATAACTTATAAATATCACCAAGTAATTGTTATTCAATTCAATACATTATATGGTGTTTTTAATATGTTGCATTATTAGCAGTAACTTAACTTATAAAATAAATCCAAGTACATTTGTTGACTTGTGGAGTAGAATTTCTCATGTAGTACAAATAATAAAAAATTGGACATAAGTAAAGTAAATGGACTTAGTCATTTTCCACTTTCTGGATGTCTCATGCTTTTATTAAGGCTTACTTTGAATTATATTTTGTCATAATAGGAGGAAAAGAAACCATCATCCTGAACACTCAGCAGGCGGAGACAACAGAGTCTCCTGGAAAGGAAGGTGAGGGATAAATGTGCCCTAAACTTCTCTCAGTGTACGCCATCTATGGTTCTGTGTTGCGGAGATTACATTTCTTAAATCTTCTATTCATATAGGTGATGAAGTGTCAGAAGAAATAGCCGTGGATCAGCAGAGCTCCACAGAAATCTCCATCCAAGAGAGTGAACCCCCCGCTGTGTCAGGTAATGGAGAGGAGCCTCTCGTGGAGGCACCATCGGCGTCCAGCGAGGAAACGTGCCAACCAGCCGAGGAAGAGCCAGCCAGCCCTCAGACACAAACACCAGACAGTGAGGAGTGTCCTGACATCGGCCAATCACAGGTCACAACGGATTTAACCATTCAGCAGTCAAGAGAAGAGGAGTGTGTGAGTGTTTCCTCTCCAACACAACATCCGTCAGACCTCTGCCACATACAGCAAACTTTAGAGAACTCTGACCCCACAGGAGAAAGTGAGGAAGAGTCAGAGAAATGCACTGAAAATGTTGAAACAGAGTGTATTTTGATACAGGAAAACATCAATAGCACAATGTCACCTGCTGAAGAAGAGCAGGAGGACGTCCAGTCAAACCGGGAGACAGAGCTTACAGAGGAGACAGATGTTTGTAAGTCAGGAAATGTGAAGTCTTCCACGAGCCGCTCTCGTGGTGCAGAGCATCAGGAGAAATCCTCAGAAACATGAGGATAATTGATACATTATTAATGCTACTTGATTCATTGTTATGAATAATGAAACACACCTGAGTTGTTACGATTGACTGACAGTAGAAAAATGAATATATCCCTGTCAGAGGAACGGGAACGCCTCCTGAGAAACAAAACAAATATCTATATGTCCACTGTCAGTAACCAACAATGTTATTTATGCTTTAATTTGATCTGTTTTGAGTCTTATGTATAAATGGTCCAAAGAATGTTGAAATCTGAGCGTAACACCCACATGTGATTGTTGAACAATACGCTGCTATAACAGCCTCCAAAACCTTTTTGGAGCTCATTTTGGCAGAGATTAGCTTCCTTCCTAAAACAGGAAACCCAAACCTTAGCCAGAAAGTTTGAAGCTTTATAATGCGTTTGTATCAGAGCGGGAGGAACTATGATTCAAGTTTGTTTAAAAAGTAGCAAAAAAGGGCTGTCGAATTTGTGTTTCATAGAGTTTGACCAGGTGGGATGATTTAGATTTCTCTGTCTTTGAGATTTACTTAAGACTGAATATGAACCCAACATTGAAGGAGAATGTAATTGTAATAACATGTCTAATGTTGACTCTGGAATAAGACACTGATTTAGGTTTTCTATAGAACTAACACAAAAATAAAGGGACACGTGTAATTGCATTTGTCATGAACTTAAAGAGGTGTTGTTGCTTAGGATTTCTCCTTTATCTTTCTACCTCTGTCCACATTTAGGAAACCATGTTAAAGATCTCTACAACAAATAAATCAGCCAGATGTTTAGCTTAAGCAGCAACTTTATTTATTTTCTTTAAAAACAATGCAAACATTTCCAAAACACTTCATTTATTATTCTCCTAAATGATAAAAATGTGGGATATTTTGCTTTTTTGCTAAACACTTTCACAAAAACAAATGTATCACAGCTATATAGAATGCTGCATGACACTATTAAGGACAGTTGACTCTGAACATAAATGTAGTTAAGATAACATTTAGTGAACTAACTAGGCTGTTACACAAAGAACCCACAACATTACCAGCACTGACGTTTTGGTCATGTTTTGTAGCAAAAAAGTATTAACTCATCAGAAATACCACAAGTGTGTATATGTGTTGAATGTGCACAACATGGATTTATTTCTGCAAAATAAATGATTTAACTGAATAAAAACATGTTTTAAGTATATAATCATATAGAAACCTGCACAGATGTAATGGAGGTTTTTGTAAGTGATAATATATTTCAAATGACATTCACATGCAAATGAATGCATTTGTAATGAATACCATGTTAACCTTCTTAGCTCGGGTAGTGTCGCTACTTTGGTCATAAACTAAAATGTAAACCGATGATGCTGTTTAAGGAAAAGTCAGAAAATCACCAAGGATTAAAGGAAGGAAGCATTTATTTTAGGAGCAGTTGAATTCTCAAGACACTTTCCCACCATTTTTGATAAGGGATACAATGGATCCAATCAATGAGTTAATCAAGGAAACGTCTCTTTAATTGCCCTACATGCCAGCATCCACAAGCTTACGTTTATTATACACCTCATACTTCATATTCCAGAGGCTGGGGGGAGAAATCCCAATGATGCAGCAGCCAAGCCTCCGGCCTGCGTTTCCACTCAGCAGGCTCCCAGCGTCTCCCCCTCTCCCCAAGTCGTCCTCCCCCTCATGGATCACCACGGCTCTTCCAATCACAGACAGCCCTGTGAACAGCGTGGCCTCAGACTCTATCATCGTATTGATCTTTCCTTTCTGAGCCACAAAGTTACCGAAGTCCCCAGGGTGGTCTGGGTGGTGTACGCTGTGTGGGTTGTAGTGGCCTCCAGTGGAGTCACACCCCTGGCTCAGGTCTCCAAACTGATGGATGTGCACCGCTCTGGGCACTGGGGCGCTCTCTGTGGGGAAGCCACTGAACTGAAGGAGCACCTTGAGTTCCCCCTCAGGATAGTCCTGCTTAAACAGCACCTGACCGTACACTTTTGGCAGGCCTTCAGGGAGTGAGGTGCTGGGTCTCATTTTGCAGGCTCCGTACAGAGTACTATTGTTCTGCCTGACCTCTGGTGGAGTGTCAGTGGAGACACATTGCTGACAGCCGGCCAGCAGAACCAACACTGCTGCTCCTAGTATATTCATTGACCTGAAAAATGTTAAAATTGTTAGGAGTGCCTCAAATGGATAAACTCATCATTGTGTTGCATGACAATACACATGATTGCTGTATTTAGATACCTTAATTTAAGTTAAAGTAGTAGCATTTGTATAACTACTCTGTTCCTGGTAAAAGTCATGCATTATTCAAAGCCGTTCGGGAAAAAAACAAGGGTAAAAATAACTCACATTATGGGGTTATTCATCAACATGTTAGAAGGATTTTAATATTGCAGAAATGTTTGAGCTCTTTTGAGCTACTTTTAATACAATTGGGTGGTTTTAGTAAGACAGTCACATTATAGTCATATCTTTAGGTTATCACATCTGAAAAAGCTAAATGAAGTGTAGGCTTGACCCAGCACCTCATGATAAATAAATACAATGTCGCAATATTTTACTCTGCAGATGGAGTTAATTAAGAGCAAAACGCAGACTTCAGGCAGCCTAAAATCGACTTACCCGTGTAGACGCATGTTAGGCAACAAATCCCAACAAAAATGACAACTTGTTGAAAGGTCTTTACTGATGATACACTCTACCCTGTTGAAGCCTGTCGAGCCCAAACGCAAAACAAATTCAAAACAAATCTTGTATAAACTGTCTAGTAGGCGTTGTTTACTCTTTGCTAAGGGTGGAGCACCGTCTTTTCACGAGTTAGACATAATGCAACTTCTTCCAAACGTGCTGCTGAAGCTAACTTACCTTCTTTGAACAAAAACTCGTCCTTCGTGTTTATAGTGGATATGAAGTTCAGCGCAAGTTCTTTCAGGAAGACTGGGTAGGCCTATATACTATAGGCTACATTCACTCCGCAGCTGCATATAATCAGCTCATCACGGGCCTCTCTTTAACCTATTACATTTCATCTCATTCTCCAGCAGCCAATTACCGTGCTGCAGCCACACTTTAAAATGGAAGGAATAAATGGCAGAACAGAAAAGATATTTGTCCAAAAATAAATGTTCTACAATTTGCATTAAATGACCATTCCCTTGTTTTTATTACTAACAGGATGGAAATCCCACTCTGCCTCCTGAGAAAAGGAATCAAGTAGGCCTAAGTGATTTTGACACGCGTGTGTGTGTGTGTGTGTGTGTGTGTGTGTGTGTGTGTGTGTGTGTGTGTGTGTGTGTGTGTGTGCCTGCGTGCGTGTGTGTGTGTGTGTGGTGTGTGCCTGCGTGCGTGGGTGTGTGTGTGTGTGTGTGTGTGTGTGTGTGTGTGTGTGCGTGCGTGCGTGCGTGTGCTTACTCAAAATGGCTGAAATGGCTATTAACATAAAAGTATTGTTCTGTAGCCTATATCTTCAATTGTTTATCGTGGATATATTAATGTAACAGACCAATTATAAGTCTGTGTAGTGGTAGTGATCGTATCTTCATGTCCTCTTCAGGTGAATTTAGCCCAGCTACTGAGAGATAGAGACATGAGCAGTGAACTTTCTGAGGAGGTGAAGGAGCTGAAACAACGCCTGGTGGAAGCTCAAGGTGACAACAGGGTCGGCTTTATGGGTCATTCGCGGGCATGCCCGGCGCCGTGGGAGGGCCAGGGAGGGCCAGGCCCTCCCATTTGACATTCCTGCCCTCCCCCAATAAACACGTTTTTTTATTATTTATAAAAATTGAAAAATATATATATTTTATTTTTTTAATTATAAATAAACTGTGAACTTTTATGCTACGATGTATGTGATGTCAGAACAAACAAAAAAAATCGCAGGCCCCATGCTACGTCAAATAAATGCATGTGTCTGTTGTGATTTGTGATTCGTCCCCATATAGACCACTCACAGCGTCACACTCTGCCGCCTATTCTGGATTTGTTTATTGTGCATTCTGTAGACTCCCATTTCTGTTTGAATTACAAAATGGACATAAAAAATTGGCTTAAAAGGTCTAAGGATTTATTAAAACGAAATGAATTGTGGGTTTTCTTCGGAAGTTTTTCCTTGTACGATGTGAGGGTCTAAGGACAGAGGGTGTCGTATTGTCATACTGATATTTTGTACAAACTGTAAAGTCCACTGAGACAAATGTAACATTTGTGATATTGGGCTATATAAATAAACATTGATTGATTGATTGATTGAATAGCGATGAAAGAACTGCAGCCGATGGTGCTGCTGGGGACCCTGCACATGCCGTTGCAGCAGCACGCCTTAATGTCACAAGCTTGACCTCGGCAAACCCCGGGGTTGAGTTAGCGATGATCTTGGGGTTAATAAACCCAACCAGGTGAAGCTGGATCGTTATCCAGGGAGATTGTTTTCAGGAAAGAAGCGCACTTTTGCCGCTGCACAACAGACCATGGCTTGAAGATTTGTTAAAAGCAGACGCAGCCTTTTGATTCCCCTGTAGACAGTTTAAAGTGAATACGTCTTCATCTGATGCGGCTTTTACTGTCAAAGGTTTTTGCGACTGGAAACACACATTACAGACTGATAAAGGACTGCTAATGCATGCCGCATCAAAAGAACACATTTCATGTGAGAGTTTGTGGAGAGAGAGACAGATACGCAAGGAAACAAATAAGGAAATTAGAACTTTGGTGCAGATCAGCTGGCACGGAGCCGTTATTATGTGTCAGCTGTCGTTGATATTATAGCTTTTTTTTAGCTGTCAACCAACTCCCTCTCAGAGGTGACTCGATTCACTCCACAGCATGTCCGAGTGCAGTGCATAGGAACATAAACCATGCCCAAGGCGGGCTAAACAGTTCAACGTCTCCGTCTCTACTATTTCTCTCCGAGTGCAGCGATGAGGAAGCTGCCATCCGTAACCAGTGTGCCTTGCTCGTGATTTACCAGTGTCTGTGCTGCCACGCAACACATTATTTACAAAAGGTGTTGTAAAACCAAACAACCAGATATATAAAGTTTGAAATAAAAACAATAAATATTGAAAACGTGTCCGATAGCCTTTATAAAGGCATTCTGTATTGTCAAACCTGACAGTGAGGTTGTATTTTCATTACTGTACATCTCCTTTTAGTGTCCAGAGCTTTTAAAAACTGGAATCACATTATGTACATTTATGACAAATGCATTTATTTCCCAATATTTGTCTCTAAAGAAATATTGGGAGATATTTCAGAAAGATACCACTGTGTGTTATCCAGGTCCTATATGTCAGAGGCAACTCCAGATTGTGTTATATGTTCCCATCACTTGAATGGGAACATTGATGATAACCAGGGCTGCACATAACTGGTGCGCAGGTGCGCATGCGCACCTCCGCCAAAAAAAGAGCACCGGTCAAGATTTGGGGAGTCGCTGCGCTGGCAGTTCTGGGAGGGAAAAAAACATTTTGACCGTTGGGGCTCATCCTAATTTTCGGCCTTGATGTAACAATATTCATAATTAAGTAAATGTAACACCCTTTTCACCCCGGTTACACGTTTCATTTGCCCTGTACAATGGGCGCTGTAAGTGATGAAAATGGGGGATGTTGGCTTATCTGGCGCCCGCAGCTCACAGCCAAAATGCGAGGGAGAGAGGGAGGGTGCACCGGTACCAGCGCTGTTGTTATTAGAATCTGGTGCCGTGCTAGCTGCTCTAACGGATATAAAAAGAAGATGTTTCTACAATAATGTGGAGGGAGAGTCCTCTCCAGTTAGACTGAGAGGCTGATACTACAGCTCAGTGAGGTAAGGACTCTTAGTCTAAGTTCAAACGGTTTGGTCACAATTTATGTAAACACATATTTCCAAGGCACTCCTTTATAATTATTGGGATAAACAGGTTTTAAATCATTCCAATGCATACTATAGGACAGTAACCAAAAATATCCTTTCAAACTGGAGAGATACAAAAAAATGCATAAATAAATAAATGTTAAGGTAAAATAAGATATGAATGAACAACACAAATAAAATAAGTTACATTCATTTGTTATTGGCTATAGGTTATTGGTTATGTTCCCATACTTATTTGATTACATCCACTTGTCTAAGATGACAACAGAGACTTTCGACCCAAAACCAGCTGTTGACTTGTGGATGCAAGCATCTAATCGCAGACTCAACCAGAGAGAAAGTAGGCCTACATCATCAGCTACCATGTCTGACAGTGAGGAGAACAGTCAGGAGGGTAGTGATGACAGCTTGTAGGATTACTGGTCGTGCTAATGTTGTCTTGTGTTCACCTCTGCATGTGTGTTGTGTGTTCACCTATGTGTGTTCAGTGCCGTGTGTCTGGCAAATAAAGTCAAGACCCCCTCAAAAGTTACGGTTTATTTCATTTTAAGGATGAGCACCAAGCAACATCTCCAGGTGCTCCTTTGAGAACCAGGGCAAAAAGTTATGTGCACCCCTGATGATAACGATCAACAGTTGACATACTGTAGTGGAAGACAATAGAGGTCTTCACAACAGCTGGATGTGGATACTGGAGATAAAATGTTTTTGCCTTTTACGTTCCAGGGTTCTTTGTCTTCAATTGTCTAAATGCTTTCCGCCTTTCCTGGGATGCATAACATGTCTTATTTGAAGAACAAGGAATTTGATGGTTATCGATGGTTGTTAGTTACAGCTGCTGCTGTGTCAGCTGATGCCAGTGCAGATGAAGACGCTATCCAAAAGATCCAGACTGACTGGGACTCTCTTTGTAATCGACCTTGTGCAACATGCATATCCAATAGATTTATTTTTTCATAACACATTTACAAAAGGTGTTGTAAAACCTAAACCACACAACCAGATTTATAAAGTTTGAAATAAAAACAATATTGAAAACATGTGATTAATGCTCGCCCGGGAAGACTGTTTTTTAAATGTTGAATTTAAATGCATCAATCTGGTGCACTTTGAGCACAAAATGAATTTATGGATACAACTCTCAACACTCATATGAAAGGGAGGAGCTGTATACTTTTCAATAATCCAAACATCTTTAGAATATGATCACAACACAAATCATTTAAACTTGTTTATTCTTATCTTACCTAGTTAGCATTATTTTTCATTTATGCATATTTTACTAATCACTCCCCTTTTAAAACTTTTTTTTTTTTTTGTACTGTCCTATAGTACACATTGGAATGATTTATTACATAGATAAAGGTGTGCTCTCCCTAGCTTGCTCTCTGTCTCACTCGCTCACAGAGGCTGTGTGCTCCTCTGTGGCGAATACGGCTTGCGTTAACAAATAAACCAACACATCCTCACTCCCAGATCGGCTTATGTTGACGTTATGTCAAGTCCCCTGTCGGCTTTTTCCAACGCAAGGGGGGGGCCTTAGCGTCCATTTTCAACGCAAGGGGGGGGCCCTTAGCGTCCATTTTCAGCTTTCCGGGATGTCCATATGCTTCTATGGACGCTCATGGAAGCACGGCATTCGTTTGTGTCGGCTGCCCTTAAAGGCAATGTGAGCGTCCATTCTCATTGGATAACGGAGAATTGTACACCCGGAAGTAAGTATTCCCCTTACTGTCGATTGATTTTACAGTGATATCTGCACTACTCATCGACTAAAAAACACCAGATTATCCTTGTTAATTACACAACATTGATTGGTTTAAATTGTGTGCAATGCTTTTGTATTTTTCCCCTTCGATTCGGAGAAACAAATGTTTTTTCGGAGTAAAGGATGGCAGAAGACACTACACTACCCAGAATCCCCAGCTATCGTTTGGACTACACCATGTGCTCTGTTTGACAAACCCCGTGATAGTCCTCAAGCTCTGTGATTGGAGAGTGTGCTCCGAGGGTTACGCCGATTCTCGAA